TAGAAATTTCTTGGTCTTTGCAACATTTTTCTCCTTCTACTTCTTTGGAATTTCCCCACTGAACACTTTCAAACTTCTTGATGTTGCTACTTCTCCAAGTTTTAACACCTTTTGTTAAAGTGTATGAAAATAAGCTTGGAAAAAATATATCAGGGTTGTAACTGATAAAGGAGTTGCAGGTTTTTATGCCTAAAAAGAAGGATCTGGGTTGCATGATGGTTCTGTCTGTCTGTAGCCTTGCTTTTTCAAGTTAGAGAAGGCACACTTAGTGCAAAAGTCAAAAAGTTAAGCCCTTTTGTTCAGACAAGGGAAAGAAATAATGGTACTTCTTAACTGAAACACATCATAAATTGTGTTTTACTGATTACTAGTGATGTCGATATAAACAGTTGTGTGTGTTCACAAAGTTGTCAGTCCTTACTTTCATATTTCAGTTCCTTCAATTACTTGGCATTCATTTGGGGGGGTGGGTGCTAATTAAAAGATGGGGACGAATATTTCTAGTTTTAATATAAGTATCTTTCAGTCATGAATCCTACACAAAAACATTTACTCCAGTGCTGCAGTCAGCCCAAACTGCTCTTCTCCAATCAATCCATAGTGTTTGCTGTTGTACAAGTGGCAGAGTGTAACTGTACATGCCTTTTTAAATACCTAAATGTGCTGGGCACTTGAAACCCGGTCTGAGGGATTGTTCTTGGCTCAGGCAGGCTGAGGAAATGGTTGAGATTTCAGTGATTAAGGGTGGGGGGAAGCATTTTAGCTTTAAGGTAGAGCTTTGGCAGCAACTTGTCTCACAGGATGTGTCATGCTGTTGCTGGGTGATGTATTTTCTTTTGCCAGAAATGCGATTATGTTTGGTTACTCCTTATGTAATATTCACATGTGAATTGCAGTAAAAGTTCACATTTTTAGGTGAATGTGAACAGCCATTACTTACTTTCTTTCTACATAAAACTATTTTAAACTTTTTATATGTTAAATGATGTTTTATGTTACCCTGAAATCTTCAGGCCTTTTCTACTCTCTATTTGGATAATGAAATCCTTATTTGTAAGGACACAGTTTGTTTGTATGCAAACAGAACAAAACGTTCATTATCCACTGAACAGGTTAAAAAGATAGTAAAAAAATAAAGTGATTATTTCTTGAGGTGTTTCCAGGTGTAGAGTAAATGTAGTTCTAGTCAAGTTCTCTTCTAGAACAGAACTTCAGTGTCTGAGTTGCTCTGGTATTTCTGCTGACCAGGTGTTGCTTTTAATTACGGTTTTTAATTTTCAGGAAACTTTATTTTTAACCATGCCCCTTTTTTTTGCTTGGCAATTTAAATCCTTTTTGGTTCCATCTGTCTATGACAGCCACTCTAGATGTTTATTGTAACAAATGACTACACATGTTTATTATAACGAATGACAGCCACTACATTTACCAACAAACTTTCTTTGTCTGAAAACTACAAGCAGAAATACAGAACTGTTGTGGTTTTAATCCTGTGGTGACTTCCTTTACTGTTTAATTTCACAAGAAATTATGAGGTAATTTTGAAATCCTAATAATGACAAGCCTTTATAATTGGTGGGATTTGTAGTTTCTGGTTTTGTTGTGGGGAGGAACAGGAAGGGCTGTGGCAACTTCGGACCTAGCACTGCATAAAACGTTTGTATCTTGTGTATATTTGCAAATCAAGTTGTTTGCAGTGCTATTTCTCTTTGGAATATAGTTCAATAACTTTGAGCATATTTAGTCACTTAAAATATATGTATATTTAATTGGTTAAGAAATAATATTCTGGGAAGTTATTTTTTGGTCAGTTCAGGTCTTTAATTACTCCCTTGTTATTTTTGGAGTGAGCTGCCTTAGCTTTGTATTTAGTAACTTCTGATAAGTCTGGTCTTGATTTTCTACTTAATAGGTCACATCTGACTCATGGATTTTCCTCTGAGTTATTCAAACATGTTAAAAAAAGGGGAAGTATATTGGTGTGGGAAAAAAGTGGAGCTGAGCTGGGGGGTGGTGTCAGAAAGTTTGGTGTCAGAAAACCTCCCTTTCAGTACCTTTGTCTGCACTGAATGAGAAAGGGAAGCAAAAAGCCCAAAAAACAAAATTAAAAATTGCACCCTGAGAGTTCTTGAAGGGGATTGTTGCAGAAAGTCATGTAAAAATGCTGCCACCCTTCTGGTTTTCTACAGTGTTAACTGGATAAGGACCAGGCCACTTGAGTTTGACAAATGTTATGTGCTTCTTGTTTCGGTGACTTCATTATGTTGAAACTAGTCTGTTAGAAATGTGCTGATAAACATAAACTTGATATAAAACATTTAGGACTCAAGCAGCACAATCTCTCTGATTTTCTGAAGTGCTGTGATGATACTTCACCACATGAGGGTGAACATATACATGTCCCTTCAACTTGTTTGCCTTGAGAAATTGCAAAGTTGGGGGGTTTTTTGTTGTTTTGGGGGCTCTTTTTTGGTATAAACCTTGAGCTGTGTTCTCCTTTACAGTTCTGTTTCAAAGCATGGTATGTTGAGTATTTTGAACAAAAAAAGGAGTTGATTTCTGTTACAGAAAAAGTTACTCCATGAGATGACTTAAAACCAGACATTGAAGTATATATAGAATCTAAACCAAATGTGCATTATTCCCCACTCACCCTTCCATATAAAATGTGTGTGGAGTGTGGTTTGAAATTTATTTTGTACTTTGTTTAGCTTTTTCTCCACCCACCTCCAACCCTCCCATCTTTTACTGGGGATTGTTGCAAGTCTGCTCAGAACTGACTGATGTTTTGTTTTCCTGGGACTGAGGAATGTTTCACATTAAGAAGAAAGTTTGCTGTTCCTATTCTTCCTGACCAGTTTGGGGTGCACCTTTTCAAGTCTGCAATGGCTATCTATTCTCATCAACTTGATGATTAATTTATATGCTGCATTACTTTTGAATGCTGATTGTTTGCACTGGCCCTACACTGACATTAGGACCAAAATATTATCAAAATTTCATATGTGCCAAACTAAAGAATGAGATGAGAAAATACAGTAGCTTTCCCCTCTTTAACTATTTTCAGAGTGGCTAATTTACTGTAATTAGTAACTTTTTTTACATCTTTTGCAGCTCCTGCAGCCTCTTTAAATTCATGTAGCATCACTTTAGGAAGAAGCTCCACAGCTTAATTACACACTATGTGAAGAACCACCTCCTGTTCTTTGTTTTGATCCTGCTTACTGACCTTTTTTGGTGTCCCCCCTGCACCTGTCTGTTCTTCACAATCCAAAGTGTCCTAGTTGGCTGCATTGATCCATATGTGACATTTATTTTGGCTACTTAGCATTTCTTGCTTTCCTTCAAAGCTTTCTTTAAGGCCTTCTCTATGTTTCTTGAGGCAGGAATGGGTAGGTAGCAAACCAGCATGTGATTTTTCTTTTTATGTTTTGTTTTATATCGCCCTTCTAAGATTTAATTTGCTTTCTTGGCCATTGTGATGAACACTGAGGTGATTTTTCATTAAAACATCTACCATAATAAGACAGCCTTGCTTTTGGGTGGTAATTGTCAGTTCGAAGGCCATTTTATTGGTTTTGTTCCCTAAGTACCACTGTTGTCTATGCTGAGTTCAGTCACTCACTGTCATAAATCCTCTTTACAGTTAACACTTTAGGCTACCAAGAAAATAAACTAATATTGTTATGACATGCTTTTTATTGCTTGAAATCATTTATAAATGTATCTTTGCTGTGCCTCTCAGGTCACAGCGCTGTGAAGCACCACGGTGGGAGCTTTTATTTCTACCTTTGTTTGACCCTTTGCACCACTAAAGGATGTTTATTCTTTGTCTACTTTGTTTCTTCCAAGGCTTTTGTGGTTTTCTATACAAAGAGCTTTGTTAAAACTATTTCAGAGAACTCTTAATAGATGTATGAGACAGTATTATCTGATAAAATGACTGGTCTTCTGAAGAGGAAGACTATTTATCTACAAGTCTGCTAATTCTCCTTCAGTTGACCTAGATTTTTGCATTAAGGAAACAGATTTTCAAAGAGAAATTATTAAAATAAATGGAAATAATGGTGGAAAAGTCAGAATCTACCTACAAAATATGAGTCCTTCTCAGCTGCTGCTGGTGAGGAGAAAATGTTACTGGTCCTGTGTCAGCAAAGGGACACTGGCTGTTCATGTTGCACAGCCTTAAAGTTAGTGACTAATCCTTCACAGAACTGGTGGGTGCCTCTACAGACATTTATTTTATTGCTGTACTTCCTGCTGAACTTGGGGCTGTGTGTTTTAGACATGGACTGGGCCTTTCAGAGGCCTTCAGGGTAGGGTTACCTGTGTAGAAATATCAGGTGTTGCTGGGTTATTAAGCCAGTACCAGAAATTTGCTTTTACTAATAAAAACAAGATTGATTAGATAACCAAGGACTTTTCTCATTAAAAAATCTATTTTCCTCATCATGTATCTCTATAAATAGTGATGCAGTTCTGTAACTGTAGATGAGGGCATAACTAGCCTTAGTTCCACCATATGGATAAAAAAAGCCAAACTTACTCATTTGATCAGATGAGGAAGGGTGACTGGTGTGTTTGTGCTGAACTAAAGGCCAGAAGAGTGCAGGCTACTCTTTCCCCTCTTGGAAAGTTTTTAGACTAGAATGTCTGGATGTTGTTATAAACTCTCTAATTTGTATCCCCTCACAACACAAAAACTTGTGTTTAAATGCAGAGTGTAATATCTACTGTGGTGCAGCATGAGAAGGAAATATTTCCTGCCTGAAAAGAATACTTTTAGGTCCCTTGTGGTGTGCCTTTTATGATGTAGGTCATCAAGTGTCTATTTTATTTTTTTTTTATTTAATAACAGAAGTAAAATTTGTAAGCAAAAAACCTGAACGTTTTCTGAGTGAGAAGGAGGGGAGATAAAGGAGGTACGGTGTTAAGTACTAATGACTAAGGAGAATGTCTTCCACTGTAATATTTATTTCCATGTTTTGGTCCTTAGGTCGTTGAGGACTATGCTGGGAGGTGGCAGGTTCCTTTGCCTCAGCTCCAGGTGCTCCAAACAGCTTTGTGTTGTTTCACCTCTGCCTGTGTGTCCTTCCCAGCAGAATGTGAGCACGTCCAATATGTGTTGAGTAGCCTGGCTTTGTAAGTACATCATTTGTTATTGTTTCCTTTACAATACAGGTCATAACAGCAACAGGGTCTCATGTCCTCAGAGCTTTCAAGAGACTGCTTTTACCAGGAGATGTATCCTCAGTTGCATGCAGCTACAAAACCTGGAATTTAGTTGTCATTTTGTGTCCTTGTTGAATATTCAGATTGGCTGTTACAATGTTTTGTAGTAATTTATCTCAAGTTTTTACTCTTCTACCTCCAGTGATGTAATAAGCCAAGTATTTCTTAAGATAATTTTCTTTAAGAAATAAGTCAATGATTTTTAAATGGATTTTTATGTTTGAGTCATCAAAATGCTTATGGGAATTACTTGTTTTACAGTTAACTGGCCCACAGTCACATTCAGCTTAAAGACCTGGAGAATGTTATGCCATAAATCTTGCTCTAGCTCCAATTTTCTTGATGCATTGGTGATTTTTCCCACACGAAGACTGAAAGTGTCAGGGTAATGACAAGTAAATAAGTCAAAGTCCCATTTATCTCTTGTTCTAAAACCCTGCTTTTCAGGGTTCAAGACCTGAATAGAAGAAGAAAAGTAAATGTTCAAGTGAATTAGATATACTTAAGCTGAGATGTACTTGATCTTCTCTCAGCAGATGAAGACAGAAACCTAAGCACTGAATTTATTGCAAGTTGGGTTTGAGTAAATCAGGTTTATTTGTCCAGCTGGTTAAACTGCTTCCTTGCTGAGCAGTGCTTTCAAATCCAGCTCAGTGTCTCAGCTCAGAATTTTCTGTGGAAATGTCTTGTTCCCCCATCTGATCATCACAAGTGAGTGAAGCTCCCCTGGTCTTCCTCTCTTAGTTTCCTTGGTCAGGAGGACTGGTTGTGTAATATTTACTGTTTTGTGTGTGTGAAACTATTTGACATACTTAAGGAATCACAAGACCACAGTTTTCAAACCTGGACTGCTCAGGTATCTGAGGATGACTGAGCAGTTACACCAAAACATGGTGACTTCTGTTGCTGGTTTTTTATCCCCCAGTTTCTAGGGGAAAAAACCTCAAAGTTCAGACCGTGCTTCTCTACTTCTAAATACGAAAGCTTGGGAGGTAAAGAGGTGGAAATTCAGGTATTTGTTGTGTGTGGGTTGGACACTCCCTGATAATTGAGAAGTGAATTGGTAGCTGAGTTCCTGCCACCCTGGTTTGTCTTGGTCTTTGAGCTCGGTTTACTCACTGAGTAAATTCCATTCCAGAATGTCAGATCATTTTTTCTCCTTACTCTGCCTGACTGGCATTTTTTTGCATGTGATGTGATATAAAGGGATCCCAGGGCTCAGTAGCTGCAGTTACCTGGGAAACCTTGCTGGAATATCTTTTGAAAATTGTGTGTATATTAAGTCTTAGTTCTTGGAGAGCAAAAAATCTGCCTGACTGTATTTTCATACTTGAGTAAGATTTCCTTGGTAACCAGACAATAAACTCTTAACAGTAACAACTGTTTTATTTCCTATATTTAATTCATATCGAATGGGGGAGCATCTGTATTGTCATTAATCCCAGGGGTTTTTCTACTGGTGCCAGTGGTCTTGGGCAATCTTCTGGTGCCAGTAATACCAAAGTAGTGATGTGATAAATCTAGATATAGATATAAATGTGGATGTGCAATGCTGCAGGTTTTAAGATGACTTGGACCAACTTGGAATTGCCTGAATTTTAACTGAATGGAAACTGGTATTGAGGAAAAAGAAGTATTTTGATGGCTTCCTTTATTATTCTGAAAAGAGTGTGATAAGCAGGTGCACTGATATAGAAGAAAATTACAGTTTACACTTGCTCACTATTAATTTACAGATTTTTTTCTCAAAGTCCTGTTCTTATTAAATCAGTCAAAGCAGATTTAAACACAAGCACACATCACTTGCTATAACTAGTTTTGTCTTATTATTTAAGTTCTGGTTTGGCTGCTTTCCAGATCCTGACATGACTCATGTCTGACCTTTCCTGAGAGTCAAATGTGCTGCAAAATTTTGTTTAACATGAAATGAGATAATGTTTTTTTCAGAACAAAGGACTTATTTAGATAGTGGTTGTTTTTTCATTCCATATATGAGTTGAGATTTGAGGACCTAACCTGAGGAAAAATTCTGTCACTGAACATAATGAATTTGTAACTTCATTTTTCTAGGTCTGTTTTTGGCTTAGCTTATCCCTGGTTAGGAAAAAAATTACTACAGCATAATCTAAAGGAAACCAAATTTTATGATCCTTTGCCATTATTACTATAGAAAACTTAATTTTGTCTGTGTGAATATTTTAATGCACAGTATTTCTGAAAATGTTATTCAGAGGAAAAATGAACTTTTTTGAATTTGCTTTTTTAAAACCATAACATTTTGTTTTGTACTTTGGGTGTTACCTTCAAATATTTTGAAGTTTGACTTGAAATTAGGGGATAACTGCAGTGAATTGACTTGTTCTGCAAAGGATTCCTTGTCCAGCTGTTCATGAAAACCTGCCTTTTGTTTCAAGAGCAGTTGCAACGAAAGACTAATAGGTCAGGAAAGAAATTGCACTGGCAAGATCTTGACTTAAAAACCTGTGAACAGGATTGTTTGTCTTAATCACTATATTTAAAAGAAATAAAATGCTAGACCGGTATTTTAAGATGATGGAAAACATGGAGGCCACAAGTCAGTTTAAATATAGATTGAAAGGATCAGCTCTGCTTGCTCCTGTGTCTGCCACTTGTTGCTGCACATGCACCTGATTTGTCTTAAATCTTGCTTTCTTCCTCAAAATTGCTGCACATCTGACAAATTCTTTGGCTCTTGAGAAGGTTCACTGTTGTATGGAGGATACAAGACCTCTTGAGGGAGAAGATCAGGCAGGTGCTGTGAGTCTTAATGCCATGAACTTGTGAAAAAAGTGCAGCAGGAGGGATTTTAAGTTGACTTTTCAATATAATCTATATTATTGCCAATTTGGTCTTGTTAGCTTATATAGAACTGTATTTGAGTGACTCCAGCATGGGCACGGGGTCTAGAATTGTGATTTTAAGTGCTGTGAAAATTAATAGACTTGTAGTAGTTTCATTTTTTTGAATGAATGTTTTTAGCTTGACTTGTCACTACTTCTGTTTTTTAGGAGTTTTTTTGAATTGCTGCTGTTCTTTGGAAAGGATGAGTTCTATGAAGATCCTTTGAAAGATATTTTAGGTTCAATCCAGGTAGTGTTGCCTGCTTTCATATAAACCTTGTAATGTTATTTTAGGTGATGTAAAGACAGTTTTTGTGGATATATAACCTGGAGGAAATACCCCATTGAAGGGAAAACCATTTATTCTTTCATTTATCATCAGTATTGCTCCATGAATCTACTCGGAGTAAGCAAAATGTACTTCTCTTTGTAGTACCAATCTTGCTAGTCATATTTTGTGCATTTCCTACATAGAAGAAGGAAGCTTTGCTTATTTGTGTCTATTTAGAGCTTAATGTCATCTAGTGTCATGACATGAAACCTCCTGTTTCCCCACTGTGGTTTTAAACAGTAAATTTGAAGTCGGAGCTCTGCCTCAGGTCAGCACAAATTACATATACAGCTGTTCTATTCTTGCATAGATTGGGACAAAGTTTTGTTTGACTTTATATAACTGCATAAGATAAGTGATCTTGGGTTAAAAATATGCCCTTTTTTTTTGCCAGATAAGTGTGGGCTTTGGTTTTGGTATTTTATGTAACCTGATTTTGAGGGTTGAGTTCACTGCATGGGACCACAGGCACTTGTACCACCATGAGAGGAAACTTTGTAGGGAAAGAAGGGATGAAAAACAAGGTTGTATCTTCTGTTAATGCTGATCATGGAGCTGCAGTTTGAAAAACAGCTATTCCTCAGTTATTTTTATGGTGATACCTGTCTGTTACTGCTTCTACAAATTAATGTATCAACATTGCTTACCTTTAATTATCAAACCAGCAGCCATTACTTGCTTGATTACAATTAGTGGAAGAATGTGGCAAGCAGTGGCTTAGTCTCTCATAAAAATATAGTGGGACAGTTTGGCAGTCCTACAATAAGTACTTGTCAAAAGCAGTCTCTGAATAAGAAAGACTTCAGCAAAAAATGTGATGTGTACTTTTGTATTACAGTTCTAAATTGCCTTTTTACTTTTAAACAATGAATGTATTAAAATATACCTTTGCACAGTTTTCTAAATAAAGAATTTCTGCCTCAGTTGTGTCATCAAACTGGTAGTGAAAAGCATTATTTCGGTTACTTAACCAGTGCTTACCATCAAACCTACGCTTTTGAATATAAAAGAAAAAATTGGTTTGAAAATAAAAGAACTTGCAGCAGGAAAGCATATGTGAAGAAGGTGATTGTATGTGCATGGAAACCATTCTTCAGCTGCATTTTTTATTTCAAAATTAGATAACTTTCTCATGATTAAAATTTTCTGTCCATTAATGTTAATATTGGCACTTTGCCAGCAAATAACAAGATGTGGGGATGAGAGGGAACTTGACATGTGAAAATCACGGGTGGCTAAAGCATTTCCTAATATTATAGGCAAACATAGTTTCTTATACGTGGAGATCTGGAGAAAAATGGTTGCTTGAGGGCTGGTGACTCATGTGGCTTAATTAATTTTTCCCTCCTGGAATTCAGACACCATCACTGGATCACAAATCCAGCACTGACACGTCTAAATCTGTCAGTAAAAGACTTTGTAGCTCCAATTGCTGACTGAGGAAATACTCAAACATGCATGGGTTTCTTGTTTTGTATCTTTTGGATAGCCTAACTGTTTTTAGACATCTTTTTCTTCTCCCTAATTGCTTTTCTTTTTGCACGTAGGAATGTCAGAACCTGCTAAACAAATACAGGAATATGAACCTGGAACTAGTGACTCGAATCATTCGAGATGGTGGACCATGGGAGGATCCAGTATTACAAGCAATTCTGAAAGCAAAGCCTGTGTCACAGGAATTAGGTACTTCATTTACCACAGTAATTTTCTAGAGCACTGAAAGATGTGTTAAATTATGCTTTTTTTAAACTATTAGTCAGGTATTGTCAGCTGGCATTGCACACAGTTTATTTTTCTGTAGTAAAACATGCTGGTCCCTCTTTTATTCGAAAGAAAGCTAAATTTCTTTGCTACTGGTTTAAGACTTATTTTATAGTGTAGAGCTCAGATTGTTCAGACACAGCTGGTTCATAAAATTCATGGCATGGATTTACCAAATCTAGATGTGCAACCCCTGACAGAGTATTGGAGACTGACCTGACTTCACTTAGGCTACTGGAGAGGATCTGATGTGTATTTATGTCTCATAAATACCCATCAGACTCATTTAATTTGTCTTTTAAATTGTAAATACTTGGGCTTGTGGCTTTTCTGGGTTCTGTTTACAGCAATGCCCATGATTACATGTGGCAGCTGTTCTCTGTTTGTGTGTGTGTAATTCCTAGAGCTGAGAGTAGGAGAAAGATGGAAACAAAATCACTGGAATGGTAATGAAAGTTCATAAGAGGAAAAATATCCAATCTACAGTGAAGTCTTTACTAATATCTTAACATTTACCAGCAGTGCTCACAGAGGATCTCTTAGAAGTTGTTTCTGTTTGATAGTGATGGAAAATGCTAGTTTTTCTCTAGTTGCTATGGTGTAGTGCATGATACAAACTCATTCCTGTGTTTATGACAGTGTGCTCATTCTGTAGAGAGAGGAAGAGGGTTAAAGTTGAGCCTGCCTCCTTAACCAGAAAAAGTATTTTGATAGCAAATTAACATGATTAAAGGGGTAGTTGTTTTGTTGTTTTGTCTCTGTTGTGAAGTAAGTGCTTGAGCAACATATTTGCCCATTATTTTTATAATATATCTGGTTTAGTTCTAGTCAAATATGTACAGAAACAAAGTGAAAACAAGTATTAACCTTGTTTTGTTCTGCATTGCACGGTTTTGGTGATTATGATGTGAGGTTAGGTCTCAATCTCTGTCTCTCCAACAAAGAATTAGTTTATCCTTTGCTATAATGATTCTCTTGGTCATCAAGAAACCTCTCTGGTAACAGTTTGAGGCTGTTTACTTAGTTTTAACCTGGCAGAGTAGGAATGAGACTGCCTGTTGTCACCAGATGATCACTTTGTTTCCTTTTGTTTCAGGCTGCATCTCCTTCCCCTCTGCCGAGATATTTTCTCTGCTTTTTATCTTCTGATATCCCCACACACCCTTGACATCTCATCTGTGATGACAAATGGTTTCTGTTAGATAATGACATTTTGGAAGCTCGTTCTTTCTCGTCTCACTTCCTCTAAAACCTGATTCTTGTCAAGTCTTACAGAAAGCAGACATTCTGTGCTACTTTACAGGCTAGCATTATTTGGTGTATATTTTGTATATTTGGCCATGTAGTTCCCACAGGGATCGTTATTTCTAATGGGGAAAGCTGCCTATTGCTGAATCACCAACCATTACTTGCAAAAGTCAGTTTGTGTGAACTACATAATCCTGTCTTGGATTCATTAACTGTCTGGAGCAGCTTAGGCCAAGACTAACCTCTCTGTGTCTGTCTTTACATGACTTGTAGCATACTTTGAGATGCTACATTCTATTTTGAGGTGACTGGAAAGAAAGGCAGTTATTGAGTTTAAAGAAAAATTGCAGGGTTGAAACACTGGAGCAATAAACTTGTGATAGATTAGGGAGAATAAAGTGGTCTAATGTGAGGATCTAGAAAAGATCATTAGAGAGGTGCACCCACTTAATTACTTTCTGAGGGGGTTGTTGACATCTTTACTTGGCTCTAGGGACTTTTCTGTATAATCACTTTTTCTTGCAGTGAATGACCTCACTTAGTCACTGGCTTTCCTTTGAGTCCTCTTGTTTACTGAGTTTGTACCCAGAAGTGCAAATGGATAGTGGGAATTAGATTTTTTTTTTTTCCTGTTAACAAGTATAATCTGAAACCTAACACCTTGAATAATATTCCTTTTGTAGTGTGTTACACCATTAGCTTCCATAAAAATAAAGATGCTAGAGAAATCCTGTTTCTAATAGAGATCTAAAGTATGTCTTCTAGGGATTTCTGAATTTCCAGTTACTTAAATGTTAAATATTTTTAGTATCTCAATTGAGATCATTTCACTCAAATATTAGCTTTAAGATTATCTTTTAGGTCTGAAAAACAGAATTCCAGAAATCAGGGGCTAGGATTAAAAGGTATTTAAATATAAATTGTGCCCAGTAGCACTTTTAGAGGAAGGGAAAAGTATATATTCCACTTCGGCAAGAAAAATCAAGGCATTCAAAGCTGCTTAAGGCAACAGCATGTGGATTGTAGTTAACCTTTTTCTCATCACTTTGAGGTCTTACATTTTAATGGGTAATGAGAATCCTGAGTTGTTTTAAATATTTGTGATTATAGTTTGGAAGTGATATCAATCCTATACTTTTGACAGTCACCCAGATTCCAGTGCTGAGAAAGGAGGGAATTTTTTAAAAAATGTTCACATCTTCTATATAGTGTAAATCTTACTAATCCTTTACAGCACCTTGTGTTAATCTGTTAGAAACAAAATACTGAACTAGATTACTGGTGTAAGAAAAATAACAATTTGTTTCCAGGCAGGAGGACAGATTTATGGTATTTAACTTAATATTTGATCGATTCTTTAGCAGAGCCTTAATTTTTTTTTTATATTATTTGTTGACATTGCACTATTAAAAACAACATAAAAATAATTGTTGGTTGGACTTCATATTCTAATTGCCTTTAAATCTTTCTTTTCTGTACAGTTAACAAATATTTAAGCTCTGAAAATCCACTGTTCTTTGAACTGCGTGCCAGATACCTTATTGCCTGTGAACGCATCCCTGAGGCAATGGCTCTTATCAAATCTTGCATAAATCATCCAGATATCAGTAAAGATCTGTATTTCCATCAAGCTCTTTTCACCTGTCTTTATATGTCACCATTAGAAGATCAGCTATTCCAGGAGGTATTGTTTGTCAGTATACATTGTTTTCATGAAGTGGGACTTTATACTTGCTGGGTACAAGTTGTCAAGAGGAGCGTGTGGAACTCTGCTTTTGTAGAACCAAATGTCATAAAATCAGGCTTAACTTAGTGCTGGCTTAAGCTTGGAGGTGGTAAATGTTAAGTGCCTGCAGATCTTGTTGACCTAAATGCAATTTTTTTGGTTCAAGTGTGCTTGTGGATATATTCCCTAAATAACTTAAATCATTAATATTTTGTGACTTCAGTGTATTGACTATTTTACTATAGACTATTATTTTAGTAAAAGCACTTGAGCCTAATTGATGCCAGTCCAGTGTTCTGTACATTATATAGTTTTGGTAGGCTTGAAATTTTTTAATGATGTCCTTTTGTGTAAAATGACACTTTAGCTGAATGTGGCCCTGCTTTTTCCAGTGGTAGCACTTACTAGATAACAGTGCTTTTCTTAACCTTGTTTTAAGAACAAGCTCCCATCATGCAAAGAAGTGCTTTTGTGTAGTATTTTAATTTTTCAGACAATTATTCTGATGGTCACTACTGTAAGAAATATGAAGGAGCTCTAGATACCTCCAAAATCTTAATTTACAGACCTACACAAAAGCTGTTCCAAAGCCATCCTATGTTAATAGCAATTCCTGAAGTTTTCAGTAACTTTAGTATAGCAAGGTCTGGTAGGTTTTTATTTCATGTCAGCCAACTGATCTAAATTGATTTTATTTTAATTGTATAGCACTTGTTGAGGACTGATTGCAAGAGTGGAATTGAGATCATCTGCAACACTGAAAAAGAAGGGAAGACTACCTTAGCCTTACAGCTTTGTGAATCCTTCCTAGTCCCACAGCTCCAAAATGGGGACATGTATTGTATATGGTAAATACTTTATTTCTGGTGAAGCAGCTTAGCAGGAAATAAATGCTTGTTGCCAAAATGAAACTCACCTAACTTTTAAGATGTAGCTCAAGTTTAAAATACCAGTTAAAAAATGTTCTAACACAATTTTTAAACATTCCTCATGCATCTGTTGTGCCTGTTTGCCTTTTTACACAGGGTCATGTGCAGTGGTAGTACATAGTACATAACATTTACTAACTGCTTCAAATTAAGAGAAGAGTGAGCCTTTACATACCTGAGGCTATAAATACCTAAAAATTTACTATAAGCATTTATGATTAGCAATGTGTAACAATATGCAGTCTGTAGACTCTTAGCAATGAAGATATTTTGCTCTGTAGCTGTAGTATGTGTCTAAATGTGTCTATAAAGAGAATATGTCATTCTGAAATGTGCTATTAATTATGGAAACTTCTACATCATAAGCAGAGCCATTACATAAATGATGGTCCTTTATAAAACATTTAAGTAAGAATGTCTTCATACACATTGAATCATCTTGATGCTTGGATGTTTTTAGGGGTAAAAAGTGTTTTCTAGAGAGTTGTTAACAAATTTCATCATTCTGAGGACGGAAAGGAAGGAAGATAATTCTTCTGTTTAGCCTTTGTAATTTGTGTACCTGAAGGAACATCTGCATTCCTTGATATAAAGTATGCTTTATTTGTTTGTTTGATGATGTAGTTAAAGCAAAACAGCTTAGCAAGGATTTGATCTTCTTCTTCCATCAATTGGAAGAAATTATTCATCTGCATAACTAATTTTCACATGGAGTTTAGAATCTCTAGGATTTCTGTGTTCCCAGATTTCAGGGAATTGAAAAGGTTTTTTTGTCTTGAAGTAATGAAGGCCAGACATGATAATGTTTGGTTTGTTACTAAATTTATTCCTTAACTACTGGATGAGTAATTGTTCAATCAAAACCTTTGGGATTATGGTTGACATACATTTATAGTACAACGTGTTGGCAGTAGCTGCTGGTGTTTTGCACTCAGTCTGTCCAGAAAAAGGTGGTCATGGCTGTCCTCACTGGAGTTCAACCAAAGTTCAACCAAAAAGGTACATAGTTTGTGTGAGCCCCGTGGCCACTTTAGAATGGAATCTCTATTTGCTGATTCCTGCCCAAATGCTGCCTCTCCTGGCTTCTTATTTTTTAGGGAATTGACAGATGTAACCTACATGTATTAATTACATGGTTAGTGCTTTCTGTTTCAGGGATTCAGTGTTTTTAAAAAATGCATTTTTAATACTGTAATTAAACCACCTTCTTATATCTTATGCTATATAATGTTAGCCTTGCTCTTACCAATCTGATTTTGCATCATCCATTTTTGAAATTGCTGTTCCAAACAAGATGTATCTCCTTATGTTCTGTCAAAGATGAAATTCCAGAAGAGACTCAAGTACTTTTGGATACCTGTTTTAGAAGGAAACGATCTCAGTCTTTTAATCTGCTGTTCAGAATAGAGAACTTGGGAATCTCTGGAAGAGTTCAGAGCAGTTACATCTGTGCAGCTCAAACAGCTGTTTCATTCTTTACAGATGCTGAGCCTTAACAATTGTGTTCCCAACAAGAGAATTCTGTATAATGCTTAATAGATCATATGAAGGCTGCATGTACTACATCATCATGACTACACTGTAATTCAAATTTTTGAAGAAGTAAGAGCCAGGTTAATTTAGCTTCGAGAGCGTATTTTTCCCTAGAGGAGATTTTAATGTCTTCAGCACAGCATAAATTATCTCACCTTGTCTGGAATTGAGGGCAAAAGTTAAGTAGCAAAGTTAAGACAGCAAAATAAATTAGAAAGTTGTAACTAGCAGATATTTGCTACCTGTATGAAGTCTTCAAGGTGAAACCGTCAACTGCCATCTCAGAGGAAGAGGAATTTTAAGCAACTCTGTTGCACAGCTCTTACTTTCATTGATGTTAAGAATAAATTCTAGATTTAGATGAACTGAATTGTTTGTGGGAAATCAAAGCAAACTGTGTTTGGTCTTACTAGACATACTTTCATACGAGGTATTGGTGAGAGGTCAGTCCATAGTGATGTAGTATTAAGGTGATGTCTCTTCAGCAAGACAGTGTTTTGATGGAACAGTCATAAACAGGCACAGCAGGATTGCCTTCCTTCTCTGCCAGGCAATTTTTTAAATGCTGTTTTGACTGTTTTCGAGTGATTCCTATGCAGTAAATTCAAAGTAAGTCAAGGAATTTTTACCACACGTTTGATCAGTCTTTTGATAAAGTGTGCTCTCTATACCCAAGGAAAGACAGACCTTCTGCTTACCAAAGGTATCAAAGGGTTGAGATCTAGCTCAGGCAGGGTGGGTTTAACCATCATCTTGTGTTGCTGATGGAGATGTGCAGTGGTTGTGGTATTTTGTAGGTAGTTGGAATGCATGGTTGCCTCTGGTAAAGAGGTACTGAGTTCTGTGATCTCACAGTAACCACTTAAATGGCCCTAACACAAGTCTATAAAAATTTAGGAAAGGCCTCAGTGTGAACTAACTTATACCATCCAAGAAATAAAGGTCTTTAAGTACTATACTACCCTGCCATAATGATAGTGCAAAGAGAAAACTCCCCCTGCCTATGTTGTCTCAGATTCATCATCTGTGTTCTGGTCAGTGGCACTGAAATATCTCAAGTGCTGCTGACTTCAGCATGAAAGTTGGTATCTAAAGCACAGAAGTGGTTGAAAGAGTCCAATCTGCTCCTTAAGAAGACTTTAATCCTTAATGATTGTCAAAGTCAGAAATGTGCTTGAGAAGAAACCACCATGTCTACAAGAAAAGTGATTAAAAGACTAAAATATAGGGTCTAGTCAAATGGTGGTTCTTCCCCCAGGGAGCTGTTCCTCATACTTTCAGTTTTCTCCATTCCCTTTTCAGCTCTTTCCTTGTACCAGCCATCACACTTGTCTGAGCACCACAAACCACTTCAGCCACTAATCTCTCACAAGGATAATTTGAGTTTTCTCAAGTTTTCTGGGATTAATGTTGAAATGGGTTGCTCTGAAATGGTATGAGGCAAAGCAGATATAAACTGGATTATTCAGTTGTGGTAACATATAACAGCAGAAATATTCAGTTCTTACTTCTGTACTTCACATTGAGACTTTTACTGAGTTGTTATGAATGGTTTGGTCCACAAAGACACTCATTTTAAACTTCTGTGTGAAATCAGCAAAGATGTAGAAATCAGATTTCCAGCCTGGTCAAGGCAGAGGTGGACAGCTTATATCGTTAGAAAACCTGCAAGACTAATTTTTTGAGCATAGAGCTGCTTATAGGTCTCCCTTTTCACAGTTTCATGATGTAAGCTTAATCTTTCTTTCAACTTTAGTTTTCTTGGGTTCTGAATGAAAGAAAACAATCAAGCTCTCTTGTCTAGCTCTGAAAATGTCAAGCAGAACTGTAGAGCTGTCCTAAATCAAAAGGTGAAGTTGGCGGTTTGTCGTAGGCAGTTCCATCACTTCCCTTCGTTCAGGCACTGACCTTACTAAGAGAAGCTTAATCCTGAAAGGTTTCATTTGTAGCTGGCACAGACTGGATACTCTGGAAGATCAACCAGATGTTTTGTCAGTAATTACATTTGTTTTCTGAGGGAGGACACTGGTGGAATAGAAAAGTGTCTTCTTTCAGAAAATGGAAGTCAGTCCTGTTTTCATTGTAATGTTGAGGTGGGATTTCTTCCTAAACAGTCCTAATTCATCTTCTCCTGTGTGAAATCTTTGTGCTAGCAAATCTTATCACTAAAAGTTAAGTCCAGTTGCCTTTCTGAGTCTCTGAATTAAAGTGCATAGAATGTACAGGCTGTACATTTCAATTAGCTCTATTTTACAGGCTGAGCACCTTACCTGTGTAGCAGCTCTGCTGCAGAGCCCAGCAGCCTGTTCTTGGCTTTCCTTGTCTCAGGCAGGAATGTTATTTGACTGAAGATCCCAGAGATGCAGGAATAGCTGTAGAGCCTGATACCTTCATATAATTGCTATTGGCAGAAAATTGTGTTGTAATGCACATAACTGGAGAACATCACTATTCCTGTTGCTGGACCTTAGCAGAAGTTACCTTTCTACAATGCTTCCACTTTCCACATTCAAAAGCTTCTTTTCCTGAAGGACTCTTCATCCTTGCACTGAAAGTACCTTGATCCTGAGCACACACAGAGCTTGATTTTTACTGCCTGTGATGTTAAGGGTTAGATCTGTACCATCTGATTTTATTGTGCAGTTCTCTCTATAAACTAAGCTGAATACATTAATATTTTGTTGAATATTTAATTGGCTCAGTGATAGGAGATACCCTGAATGCTTTAACAAAGTAATTAAGTTGCATTTCTCATTGTGCACGTTGTGGTGTTAATTAGATTGGTATTAAGCCCTCAAATATGATTTTAGTCACAGAACATGCAAATAATTGTTTTTAGTAATGCATCATGCTTAGTGATAGAGTTCTAAAACTCAATCTAATTGGAATATTTTATTCTGTACTTAATAGGGACCTGATCTTCATTTGGAGTAAACTGCAGCTTAAATCTAACCCTTCAAAACAAGTATTTGTTGACCACTGCTACCAGCTCCTAAGAATTGCTACAAATGTCAGAGTCATTTTCCCTTTCATGAAAGTCATTAAGGATGAAGTAAGTTCTGTTTGTTTTTACCTCAGCCACCATTCTTTTTGTAACTAGTTAAAGAGAAGTGATGTTTATATTGTATAATGTCCAATTTTTATGGAAAGTTAAAAAACAGGGGATAGGGAAGGACACTTAACTTAAAAATTTTGTCAAGTTCCAGAATATGCATCAATATTATGATTACTCTTGATTAGTTGTGGTTTTAAGGTTTTATTTTTACTGAATTCTGAACTTTTCTTTTTCTGCAGTAAGTTTGAGGAATGTCATCTTCTGTAAATAAATGTGGAAATTAATAATAAGTACATGAAATAGATCTGAAGATCTAAAGATTTATTGGTTGGGGGAGGGGGGTTCAGCCTGGCTTCTGAAGGAAATAGGACTTGTGTAATTGTATCCACCCTTCATCCTTGCTAAATTCTGAATCCTTTCACCAGTTCTAATCAAATCTGAAAAAGTGCTTAATATATCATAAAGGAAGAGCTAGAATAGTACAGGAGAAGACATTATTTTGCTTCAGAAAATTGCACAGTATTTCATGCTTCAGATGTTAGTCTTGTACTGCCTTGTACAAACATCTGCAAAAGATGTCACAGAATCACAGAATGGGCTGAGGTGGAAGAGACCCACAAGGATCATCGAGTTCAACCCTCAGCCCTGCACAGGCCCAGCCCCAGAGTCCCCCCCCGTGCCCCAGAGGATCATCCAAACCCTCCTGAGGCTCTGGCAGCCTTGGGGCTGGCCCACATTGCCTGGGGAGTCCTGGGCAAGTGCCCAGCCAGCCTCTGGGAGAAGACCTTTGCCAGAGATCCAACCTGAAAGCCCTGCCCCTGACAACAGCTCCGATGCCATTTCCCTGGGTGCTGTTCTCTGGGTCCCCTCAGGCAGAGCTCAGTCCGTCTGCCCCTCCTCCCCTGCCGCAGGAATTGGAACTGCACTGAGGTCTCCCCTCAGTCTCCTCTTCTCCAGCTGAACCCACCAAGTGCCCTCAGTGTCCTCACATGGCTTCCCCCCAAGGCCCTTCCCCATCCTCATTGCCCCCTTTGGACACTCTCTAATGGCTCAATACCTTCCTTACATTGTGTCCCCCCAAACTGCCCCAGTATTGCAGGAGAGAGCAGGGCAGAGCAGAGCAGGACAATCCCCTCCCTGGTGCCCCCAGGACAGGGATGTCCCTCCTGGCTGCCAGGGCACTGCTGACTCATGGCCAAGTGGCCACTCACCAGGACCCCCAGGGCCCTTTTCTGGCACTGCTTTCCATCCTCTCATTCCCAGTCTGTCTGTCCATCCGGGGTTGCCCCACCCCAAGGGCAGAATCTGGCCCTTCCCCTTGTTGAACTTCCCATGGTTGGTGATTCCCAGCCCTGGAATCTGTCCAGGTCTCCCTGCAGGGCCCCCTGTTGAGTTCAACAGCTCCTCCCAGTTTGGGGTCATCTGCAGACTTGCTCAGTGTCCCTTCCAGTCCTGGTTCCAAGTAATTTATGAAGATGTTGGAGAGCACAGGGCCCAAGATGGAGCCCTGTGGAACCCCCCTATGACAGGTCACAGTCCGATGTCACCCCAGTCACTGTCACCCTCTGTGCCTGACCCCTGAGCCAGTTGCTCACCCACCACACGATGTGTTTATCCAGCTGTGGGCTGCACAGTTTGTAATCAAAAGCACACAGGTATGTGAGTTGTTTCCCAACAAATGTTGTTATTTATCATTAACCTGATTTAACAGAGCTCCTTCCTATTTTATGCCCTAAATAAACTGTAAATTATTTTTCATGGGGGCTGCTGTACAGATCGAAATGCAGTAATTTGCTGCTGTTTAAGAGTTCCATCCTGGTATGTATTCTGAAAAGCTTGTGGTGGTATTAATAACTTCTATTTCCATCTGAATAGTCTTATTTTTTAATAACCTACTACATATGGAGCATTGTCTACATTTGTTAACAAACATTTAAATATAGAAGGTATTAATTTTTTCTCAGCTCCCTGAAACTCTTTTGACTTTAATCTGCTGCCTTTTGGGCAGTGTGTTTCTGATTGTCCCTCTGAGTTACAATTTCATGACAGTGCCCCCAGCCTGAAGTGTGGAATAGGAATTCTGAAAATTCAAGCCTTTTAGAATACTTGGCCATGAGTTGTTATGGTTTCCCTGGCGGTTTTTGTTCAAAATTGCAAGCTGCATTGCCCTCATTTTTATGCAATGCAAGCTAAATGAGTTAGAACAAGGTCAAAATATAGAGTAGCTGTGTTATAGTGTAGAACAGCCTCGGCAAGGAAGAGGCAGACAGGAGATACTCAGAGATCAGATATTTGTATTATGTTTTAGATCAGATTTCTTGCAGTCTTAGTTTATACCCCCAAATAATTAGTTGTCTAACTATAGAACTGCATGGCCCAAAAGTTTTTGTATCTGTATTTATAGTCTTGTTTGAGCAATATTTAAAAATGTCCCTGCCTTTGGGTAAAGTTTACTAGCAGGATGCTTTCTGAACTTCTGTTTTACGAGTAGATGAATATAAATACATGTGGTGTTGATGTTCGGGCATTGTTTATACTAGTTGTGTTTTGTTTTATTTTTCCTGTGGGTCTGATATTTTTTATTTTACTTTCAAGCTGTAGATTTCTGTAAGCCCATCAGGAAAATAGCTGTACTTTATAACTGGGTACACTATAATTTCCTTTCTGCAGGTTGGTGAGGATGGTCTTCAGATCTGTGTTGAGATCTGTGGATGTGCCCTACAGCTGGACCTCCGTGAAGATCCCAACATGAAAAGTCTTATTTATAAAGCAATTGCTCATTTTCTGCCAAATGACTTGGAGATCCTCCGAATTTGTGCTCTTTCCATCTTTTTTCTGGAGCGCACCTTGGAATCTTACTACACTGTTGAACATTTATATAAATGTGCAGATGAAGAATACAATGAGTGCACTAGTTCTGTTCAAAACCGTGTGCGTTTTGAACTGCTTCCCATTTTGAAAAAGGGTTTGTTTTTTGATCCCGAGTTTTGGAATTTCTTGATGATCAAGCAGAATTGTTTGGCGTTGTTGGGGGATAAAGCCTTGGATGGCTTAAGTGAAAGTACACTGGAAAACTCAACTGCAAATCCAGAGAAAACAGCAGAGTACAGGGCTCTGAGTGAGGAATGTGTCTGTTTGACTGATGTGAGCAATGGGGAGCTCGACCCTGGAAACTGCTCTGGAGCCCAGTCCAAAGGTAATGCCAAAAAGAACCACGAAGCTCTGGAGGCATCTAAAATGTCGAATGCGAGTGAACCCAGGCACCGCTGTGTGCTGTGCAACAAGGAATTCCTCGGTGATCACATCGTGAAACACGCACAAGCTCACCAGAAAAAGGGCAGTTTTTCCTGTGTACTTTGCACCAGAAAGTTCAGGCAAAAGGGACTGATGCTGAAGCACTTGAGGAATCATGTCAGGAAGATAGAAAGGCAACATCTTGCTGCAGTTCTTGAGGCTAGTCAGCAGGCTCCTGCTCTTAAGGAACTAGGATGTTCTGAGGTTTCTCTCCCTCTTGAAAATGGGAATTCCGATGGTTCCAAACATACTGAACCAGCGGCTGCAATAGCTCCAAGTGCTGAGCAAGTGGTCCAAGAGGAGGATGAGAATGCAGAACAGGTTTTTGATGTGGTGGAAAACCATCTAAGTGACCAGGATGATGCTACTGAAAATAGTAGTGACAGCTGTTTTAATAATGTTCCTGATGCTTTAAGTACAGAGAGTTTGCCTGAAGATGATGAGAACTCCAGTAAAGAGTCACCTGTTCTGCATAAAGTGAATGGGGCTTTTTGCCCTCAAAAAGACCTCGATGCTTTGGATGAGGAGGGAACCTTTAAGTGCCCTGCTAATGGTTGTGCTAGAGTATTTAAAAAGATAAGGTTCCTCAATAAACATGCAAGGAAAAGTCATCCAACTGATCTGAAGGTGCAGCAACATATAATGAAATGGAATAAAGGAAAGTGTCGGTTCTGCCAGAGAAAATTTGCTGATTCTCAACATTTTATAGACCACCTAAAGAGACATGTGTATCCAAATGTTTACTTTTGTTTACACTTTAATTGTAATCAGAGATTTAAGCTGTCAGCTGAGCTTGCAGAACATACAAAAAGTCATAGTGTGTTTAAAGCTCAGTGCAATTTTTCAGACTGCTGTGAGCTATTTGAGGAGCTCCCTTTGCTGTATGAACATGAGGCTCAGCATTATTTAAATAAAACCCCAGAATGTTTGGAAGATGCAAGTGAAAAAGATTCTTCAGATGATCCTTCAGAACTTTGTAGTTTCCAGGATGATGATGAATCTGTTAATGAAAAAGAAACTGTAGATTTACCAATTCCAACTTGGAAGTCAAGGAAGGATTCTACAGAACCAAAGACATATATTCAAAGTGTGGAGAAGAAAGCAAATAATGTAATTCACAATGGAAATGAAAGTTCATCTGAGGGTAGTGCTACCACTTTAGGTTCCATAGACCAAAAGACACCTGTGTTACAGCCAAATTCTGAAAACTGTCATGTTGTTAGTGACCAACTAGTCAATGGGCACAGTGACCCACATCAGACGTCATGCAAGTCATCACAGACACCTTTGGACAGAGTGGCAGATGAAACAAGGACAGAAAATGGGTCAGTGTTACCGGTTTTACAGAATTGTCACGATGCACCACAAAATAATAATAATGCTGCTGCTGCTGCCTCACAAGTACCTTCTAAACCAAATCAGACAACAGAGACTACTTCATATGGTGTCATCTTAACAAAACCCTACGTCAGACCATTGCCTCCGAGTTACCTTGACGAACGTTACATTAGCATGCCAAAACGGAGAAAAATTTTGGCCGAGGAAGTAGATGCTTACTCTGAACAAGATAAAATTTGTAGCAAAACAACAGAAAGATTTAGATGTGGCAACTGCTTGACCATCTACTGTAATTCAGAAGCACTTGAGGCTCACCTTGCACAAAAGAAGTGTCAGACGCTCTTTGGATTCGATTCAGATGATGAAAGTAAGTCCTACAGTCCTGGGTTGGTTTCTTTGGGGGTAAATACCAATCAGAAAATGGTCTTTGAAATCAGACAGCCTGATGGAATAGATATGCTAGAACTTAGACAACTAAATCAGAATACTTGGTTAAATTGGGCTTTTGAATGGACATGCTGTTTAGAACAAGAAAGCGGTGATGAGAATTTGTAAGCAACTCTGATGGAAAAGCCTTCTCCTCAAACAGAAGGGGTAATTCAGTCTGACTTTCCTTGCATGTTTGAAACTAAACATGTTGAAAAGCATAAGCGGTGTTCTAGGTTAAAGAATGAGTTACTTTTTGACCCCAATGCCTTCTCTTTTACAGGTGCCTGATCAATGTTGTGGAGGAAAGTATCAGATAAGGAGTGGTGTAAGGAAACACTACATGAAGAAGCATCAGTTCGTTTCCCAGTTGGCCTTAAACATGAAGCAGTCTCAAATTACTAGAGAGAAACATGACCTTGATAAAGACAAAGCACATTTTCTAGACAAAACTCACAGAGGAGTAATAGGAGCTCTGCAGGTCTTGAGTCCAGAAAGGTTGCTACAAAATCCCCAAAGTACCAGTCCTCTGAAAAGCCATGTTCATTCCAAATAGATGATTGAAGGTGAATGGCACAGCCTTTCTAGCAGGAAGGTTTAAGGAAAATAAATAAGGCAGGCAGAGGAAGCAGAGATGTTAATTGCCTTGTGGAAAACCAGCCAATTCTGAAAGCTGCTTTAGTTTGTGTCATTAAAGGGGTGTCTGTCCACACAGCTGGGAAGGAATCATTCCGGAAGGTGTTAATTATTATACTATGGATAAGAAATGCATAAAGGAACCATGCATTCTTTTTTCAAAGCTCAAGTATGTGAGTCCATTATCTGCTCAAAAGCATGGAGCTCATTTAATAAACTTATACTCAGAATCCAAAGAGTTATGTGGAAAGAAATCTTAAGATAGATGGAATGCTGGAATAGCCAAAAACTCGAAATACAGCACATGCAAGGAAAAGTGAGTTGATGTGATATAAAACTTAAACACAATGGAAATCAGATGCAATGCAAGAGAAGCCCTTTGCAAGGATAAGGTGAAGGTGTAGGTAAAGAGTGTCCTGTGAAACATCTGTTGTAGGTGTGGGAAGGCCAATCCAAGCAGTACATGCACAGATTCATGTGGATTTTAACAGGAACTGATTGAAACAAATGCAGAATGTTGAGGAGGTTAAACTTGCATTACAGAGCAGAGTTTATTATTATGCAAATACAGAGACCCCTCAGCTGTTGGTGTAACTGAAAAGAATTTGAGAAGGCAGACAAAAGCAGAGCACAGGTTGGAGGGGATAAAGGTCAGGAAGAGCCTGTTTTACATGTGTGATAAATGGTGGTAGGCCACAACTCAGTACTGTAACTACTTATTTACTGTCTAGAGGGAGGGAGAAAATAGGTTTGGATTCAATCTCTTTAAGACACATTGTAACTTTATTTAGTCATCATCATGGCTGGGCTTCGAGAACGAAGATTTAGGAAGGCTCTATCCACATTTGTTACAGGCACGCTGGTGGCTAATGAGGCCAATATGAGATAGACATATCTGATTGCAAAAGGCACAGCAGAAAGACTCCTTAGATGGTGTATTCTGCAGAAAACGATTCTTTCTGCGTTGCCTTTTCTCCTCAAGGGTGATCCTGCTGCGTTCTCAAAGGAGACAGCTGTGTTATAGATGGGGTGTCTCCAGGCCTCCCGATTGGAGGCCAGAGTAGACCAGTTATGGTGATCAATATGGCCAAGGCTGAGATGTTGTTTCAGGCAGTCCTTGTATCTCCTCTTTGGGGCTCCTCTCTTGCAGCAGCCAGTGGCAAGTTCACCATAAAGCAAGATCTTAGGGAGGGGGTGGTTGGTCCTTCATCCTGGAGACGTGCCCTGCCCAGCACAGCTGTGTTCTCAGCAACATGGCCTCAATGCTTGTGACTGCTGCTTGTTCTAGAACAGATGTGTTGGTCACATCATCTGACCAGCGGATGTTTAAGATTGTTCGGAGGCAGCGTTGATGGAAGCGTTACTTTATTTAGTAGCATCCCTTGAAAAGAGCCTTTCCCAGCAGTTGGTGGAGGAGTTACTGAAATGTTAAGCACTTTATTCGAAGTTCACTGTTCATAGAAACAATCAGAATGTGAAGACATGAAGTGTGAGTCTTTCAGCTCTATGTGTAACACTGAAATAGAGAACATTTGGGAACCAAAAGGATGCCCTTGTAGTTTTTGGTCTTCCCACCCCAGGCAGAGGTGTGGCAAACACACACATTGCCCAATTACTGTGCTAATTTCTCCTCTCATTTATCTCACACTGTCTTGCCACCTGACAAGATTTTATTTGGGATCCTGTTCTATGCGGGTAAAATTTTAATGTGATTGTAGGCAGGGGAGGGATAGTGGTGATAGTGGTGTTCAGGGATGGAGTCTTCACAGAAATGTGGGATGGCAAAGCCCAACTGCTCCCGCTCAGCTGGTTTATTTATGGAATAGTTCATCACAGTGTGTGTAGGGCTTAAATCAACAGATATGGAAAAACTAATGCATAAAAAATCAAGAGGTGCATACAACCTGTTCACTGTAGCAATGGCTCATGCTTGCAAAGCCAAGGGTGTTGTAAGATAGGCTGTGAAGTAGTTCTGGAACTAAACTCAGTAGCTCAGCAATGCCTCTGCTAATAACCCTCTGTGAAAGTAAACAGATTTGCATTCCTTCTGCTTTGTTTTCCCCTCCTGGGAGGTAAAAAGAATGCAAATTCAAAATCTTAACTCTTGAACTCTAGGAAATTTTTGCCTTAACTTTGAGTTGAATTAACAGAAAAGGTTATAAAATTATGATCACAGGTATGTGTGCATTACATCAATACCGATCATGGCCCACTTTCAGAGATTTGTATGACGTCTGAGGCACCAAAGAAATTTTTTTTGCAGTTGCAAAAAACCTGATTTAAATGCATCGTTCATTATATATACATATATACACACAATATATATATATTTACATATATAAATACATTAAAAGTTTGTTTTAAATTTAAAGAGGTCCTTATCAGACAAATGCACTTTGACCTTTTTTGCTTTCAAGTTACCAACTAATTTTTAAGGACCCAGTTTTCATGTTGAATGTTCCCAGGCTCCCCTTTCTTTGCTTAACTTTGTTAATCTAGTTAAATTTGCTTAAATATATTTGGGGGGGAAAAAGGTTAATTTTAAAGTATTACAGTTCTAAAAATCTGAAAACCGAGTCAGCAGATATGACAAAAACGTTTGCGTAAAATCTTTTCAATGTACCTTTAATCTTTGGTGCTTTTTTGCCTTTTCCCTGGAGCTCCATGTGTTTGAAGATGCTTTAAAATCACGATTGAGACTTGTATTTTCTTTGGTTTTAAGTGTGTAGATAAATGCATCTGTGTCCATGCATAAACTGTGACCATAATTTTTTGTACCTGCATTAAACTCATTTTTGTTCAAAGATGCTTTTCTTGGACACCACCATTTGTTGATGTTATGTGTTCAGTAGATACACTCTGGAGAACAGGAAACATGAATTCTTCTGTAGGTGAAAATTAGCAAAAAATCCGAACACTTACCAGAAATACGGTAAGTGTAAATTAAATTGACCTAAGGTAGCAAGTGGGTGGTAACATTTTTAAGTCATGAATTTACTTCAGAAGACATTGCATTTTCTTTAAGCTCCTCTCTGATACCTGTTGGTATTCTCATATAGTTGCAGTTTAAGCAACTTGAATCAGAAGGAAAAGGGTACTTGTGTAATGTGTGTGGGATAATTCTCCATGCTTTTTAAGGATCCTTTAGTACGTTGAGTATTACCCTGTACTAAGCCTGCAACTTCTAGGGCTGAAAAAGGCTACAAATCTAGATCTGAAAGTTGTTTTTTTCCCAAGCATTAAGAAGCATTGTATGATATAATTGGAAATCCTTCAAGATGTATCACTTTGATTCAATAAATACTAAAATCCATGTGTAATGTAAGCCTGCAATTCCCTTAAAACTGCCTGAAGTTACACATGATCTTGGGAGCTTTGTTGGATCAAAGTTTGTGCATTTGTTGTGGATAATTGTGTTCCAATAACATTCCTCCAGTTGGCTGTAACTTGGATTTGGACTTTGCTTTTAAGACTCTTCTCTAACCTGATCATGTTTCACCGTAAAGATCATGGAAGTTCTAACTTCAAAGAGTTGCCATTTGGTGGGCACCTTTCACAAAAAAAAAGGAATACTGAAAGTAGGTTGAAAGTGGTGATATCTGTGGGGAAAGGTCACTGGTACTTTGGTTATTTAGCCATATTCATTAAAATTATATAAATTGTATAGTTTGGATAATTTATAACATTAAACTTTGTGATTTTAATATCACATTGAAGGTTCAGCTGTACTCATTTCTTTTATTGTTTAACACCAGTGCTATGGACAAAAGACCCAAAGAGGGTGGTAGTGTTACTATTTTCTTAATTTATTTGGTACTGTATAACACCTTTCTGATTAAATGCAGTGTATGCATTTTGGGACTCTTAATTTGTAAAAGATGTTACAGGTTCAGCAAGAAAGGAAATTTGTGCTTCCTTGTTGAATGTTAAATTATTTTACTTTGCATTTTATATAAGAGTACAAATTAAAACTGAGCCATCAAACTGCAATAAATCTACAGTAGTGTTTCATTTTAAAAACCTTTTTGTACTGTACATAGATTTGTTCAATAAAACATTGTCTTTGTTGTTGATAGAAATTGATCTTGTCTTTTGGAGAATGCCTCTGAAAATGCTGCTGCGACCTTCCTAGCTGCTGTGTTGTGTTTGGTATGGGAGAGTTGGGTGCCACGGCTTGATGTTCCAGAGGTGTGGATATTTGCATTTGAATAAACTAAGCTTCAAAACAGGGGTGTGGAGGGGGCATTTAACTGCTAAAGTGGTTTCCTGGGGCTCAAAACCCAAACAGGGCCACAGACAAGTCTGGATGCAGCTGTTCCAAGATCCCTCTGCTTCTGGTTGTCTTCATCATAAAATTGTTCAAGTTCTTCAGCGACCTTATATTACAAGTACAAAATGCTGCCCTAAACCTCTTGGGAAGGCACTGATATATGGAGCTGAGCCTCGGTTTTTGCACTTCATGAACTTATGTCTGTCTCTGATAATGCTGCCCAGAGAGATAGTAGCCTCTGGTGTGATACACTTGTTTTTCACTGCTTTGTTTGGTCCCCTTGATTGAATGGTGTAGTCCAGAGACAAAGACAGTGTAGTTGCCTTTTTTTGGATTTTGCTTCTGGGAGTTCAGTACTTTAATCTGAAAACATTGGTTTATTTAGAATTATTACTCACAGTCCTGTAAATTCTTAATGTTCTTTGAGTTTCATGTGACACAGCTGAACTGTGAGGACTAAATATTGAGCTTTGAGCCCAAGGGGAGGTTGAGGTGCCTGGATCAAGGAAGCACCTAAGAACTAGGGAGACCTCAAAAGACCAAAGGGGTGCTCAAGGGAGCTTAAAATAGTCTAAGTAAGTTTAAGACAAAGGCCAACTTTGAGGTTCTTGAGTATGCAGGTAACTTTGTACATACTGAATTTTGTATGTTGGGAAGTTGAAAAGATCATTGGGAACTATTTTTAGAATTATGTAGGAAAAAATAACCATCAATTATGACAGGTATAAAATACATAAATAACAATTTGTAAGTGTATTTATATAAATAGGTATAAAGGTTATGAAATGTAGTTGAGTGGGAGGTACAGTGAAACTCAATGTCCATCATATGGTTACCACCTGCTGTTGTCTATTTTGACAGTATTTATTTATTATTTATGTATTTCAGGCCATACCTGTCACCTTTGGCTGTCAGCATAACCAACATTATTATTGTAAGCTAATTTTCTGAAAAATTTAGTGTAGGATTGCAGTGGTAGTCAGTTAATGCAGTGGCCAGTGTCATTTTAAGTATGTAAATATCCTTTATATTGATATAGTTTATGACTCTGCCCACCTACAAAACAGCTACTTCTACAGATGGCACTAAAATGTATTATGTGTTTGCTTGTATTGTAATTTCTGATTTATTTTGCTTAGTGTTTGAAGGAATTGTGGTGATTTGACCATGACTGGACACCAAAGCTGCTCTGTCATCCACTTGCTCAACTGAACAGGAGAGAGAAAATGTAAAAACAATCTGGTGGGTCAAGAGGATCCCTTGTAATGACTCCTTGAATTAAGACAGCAGTTTAATATTCCAAGAATTCTATTCACCTTTAGGTTCATATAGGCTAATAATTTTTCTGTTTCTTCCCCTTTAGGAATGCTACTTTAAATTCTTGCTCAATGCTCGAGTCAATTAAAAGTTTGTATAAAAACTGTAGGAAATTCCAAGTTGTGAGAAAGGAAAAAAAAACAAACAAAAACAAAACACCTACTTCTAAAATAATTCCCTTTCTCCCACCACCACCTCCAAAGGGGAAGCACTTGCAAGGTGCACGTATAATCCTGCTGAAAGGGCTGGCCTTGATTTAAAACAAGATATTATTCCCTTGAAGGCTGCAAATCTAAAAAGGTTTGTTGAAATATGAGCAAAACGAATTTATATTTTTCAGATGCATTTTCTAATTTTTAGTTTGCAGGATTGAGATTAATAAATTCAGAATTTCAACAGCTCAACTAACATGGTGACATGTAGGTAGTCCCATTTTTGAGGATTTTGCTCTGTAAACTCCACAGATAAGTAGAATGATGCACTACATGTTGTGGTGGGAGGTCTGTCTTGTACATGAAGAGTGTGCAAGTCACTGGATGTATGGAATATAATTTGGTCCAGCAGACAATAAGCATTATTATGTTTAATCTTTCCAGATGCTTTAGGACTCAGTGTTTATCTGAATGTTGGACTTGCAATTCATGGGCAAAATTGGGTCAGCTGTTTCTGGTTTATTTGGAATTCATTGCTCCAGCTCAAGAGAGCAGCTGTTCCTCAAGCTGGATGTGTGTTGGTTTTCCTTCTGATGAACCTGGAGATCTGCAGGTTTTTAGATCTCAAAGAAGACACAAGCATGTAAAGCATATGGGTAGTATGGGGGGTAGGAATGTGTTCTCTGTTCATGTAAGTGTTCTGTCTTAGGTTTACATGATCTTGAGGGCAGGCATTTGTTGCTACAGATCTGAACAGAGCCCACCACAGTGACGAGTTCGGTGGTTTGTGCAATAACATCATCAGTAATTTTAACTTGAATCTGCAGGTGATGGTCTGTGTGTCTCTACAGAATACAGTAAGTCTTCCTGGTTTTGAAATTACAGGCAGCTTTGGCACCAAAACGTGGCCTCCTTACACACCCATATTAAAACATGGGGTTAATGAGAGGGCTCCTTTTTCTGCCACACCAATGTCAAGCACTCATTGCCCCTTAATTTTTCTTGGCACATAGCTCAACTGAAGCTCCTGCTGCCTTCTTTCCCCTTTTTTTGTTCATCTTTCCTCATTTTCCTTTTCTTTCTCTCACTCATAAAGTGACCATCACTGGTTTTTCTGCCCCTGGCAGAGAAAATACTGCCAAGTGGAGGAGCAGCACAAGGCTGAGGCCTTGCATGTGGTAAAAAAAAAGCACCTTTGACTTATAGAACTTCATTAGGCATGTGCTGTGCTGTCAGATTTCCCACTCCTGGGGATGTGTATCCCTTGCTTGGCATGAGTTCTTAAGGGGTCCCACAGCTCCCTCAGTCACAAGTAGATGATTTGCTCGATGCCACAGAGGCTGCATCTCAGATATTCAAAAACGAGTTGGTCCAGCGACCACCATAGAAGCTTGAAGCTTCTCAGTTGACTTCCAAAGGCTGTTTCCACCACGAGCATCTGCCTGGACCACAGCAGGCACACTGAGCCATTCCCGAGGATCTGGCGCACAGCTGGATCCTGCTGGAAGCCTTGTTTGTAGGAGTCCTCCAACTCC